ATCCTTAGGTTGGTGTCTGCAAGTAGGCATAACTAGCACTACCAAAAACCCTACTTTACCGGTTGCTAACTGGGAGGGAAGTGGTACCTCCTCCGCGCGTGTTTTCAGTCTTTCACCCCAGACATGCTTTATTCATTGCTTATATGTGGTTTAGTATATTTCTACTGGGCTGTGGCTCACCCTATATGGGAACATCATTTTCAGGTTCAGGTGATAAGCTGCCTCCAAGGACTTAGCTTGGAAGGGATTTGGATTTCGAAGACTATCTTTAGTTAATTGTCTTTATTTATTAGTACATGTAAACATCCAAGCCTAGGGCTTTTCTTGTATTGAGTTAGAACTCATCTTTTTGTATCCAAGTGTTGGCTTGGAAAGATGTAAGCCTGTAGGGCATTTTATTCGATGTTACATGTAATGCTTTTATTTAGTAATACTCTGATGAATGAATTAATGAATTGTTTTTCTTTAAATAGTGCATGTCAGTGACATATATATAATGGGTTTATTTTGAGGGCGTTAGAAGTCATAATGAAATGAACAAGAAAACCTTCAGAAATTTCCATGTCCATTCCCTTTAATTGAGAGGCCATGTCATTCATCTTTAAGATATGTTCACGAACGCCACTCAAACCATCATACCAAATTGCGCAGAAAGAGAAGTCATAATGAAATGAACAAGAAAACCTTCAGAAATTTCCATGTCCATTCCCTTTAATTGAGAGGCCATGTCATTCATCTTTAAGATATGTTCACGAACGCCACTCAAACCATCATATTTCATTGTCATCATTTTAACCATGAGAGTACTAGTAAGAGATTTGAAAGTTCCAATGAATTGTTCTTCAATAGATTTCATATAGCTCATTGCACTTTCAGAAACAGGGATTGCTCCTTGAATTGCAGGCGTAATTGAGCCTTTCATAATCATTCAACTTAAGCGATTAGAGTGTTTCCATTTTTCATATAAAGCCATGTGTTCCTTAGAACTTGTATCATTAGTCTTTGTAGGAGTTGGCTCTCTTAATGCATAGTCTAAATCCATAATTTTCAAAACAATTCCAATTTGTTCCTTCCATTTCTTAAAATTAGTTCCACTCAAAGCTTCAATACCAGACAAGTAACTATTAATTGTAGTAGGATTCAATGTTGCAAACACATAATATCCATTACATAATATAATTAAGAAAACTACTTTTCACATCTCATAAAAATAACACCACAAGTTAAATATATCTAGCTATAAAACATAATTAGTTAGATACGAAATCAAGTTATCCTCCTGTTGGGCCGAATAACAATATATTTTAACAATTCATAAAAGTAAATGAGATGACTAATAAAAATAAACAATATACAATAAAATAAAATAATCATTAAGACCGTAACGAGTTTATCACCGTTGGACAGAAAAACTCAATGTCTCTTATTTTATTTTATTAACTAAAGCACATGAGAAGTTTATCACTGTTGGGCAGAAAAACTTATTGCTATATTTATTATACTAATCATCTCGGTTGTTCAAACATACATAGTGTTGAACCTCCGTTGGGCTGATCAACAATGTTTCAACTCATAAGGTGTGTAACAAAACATTATAAGTGCATAAAACATTATCTTAATTACCACTTGTTCAATAATTTTCAATTTTTATTTTAATATCAATAGAATAAAAGATTGGCCAAAAATAAAAATAAAATTGGACAAGTGTAAATCAAGGTTTTGCACTTGTTACACAAAAATATCATAAAATGAAATTCATACTTATACGTTTCATACATCATAATTGAGAACCTTCACTCTGATACCAATTTATAGAAAACTTTGCGGAACATAAACTAAAAACCATTAAGGATTCAATTCTATACATGAAAACTATATGAATTTTTACGATACAAAATAAGTGAATACATACCTTGATCCATGAAAGTATGAAATCCTCTTGTAAAAAAGAGAAACCTTGAATGGAAAATCTTGATCTTTAAATTCTTTACTTGTCTAAGATCTTCAAACCACTTCTCTCTGTCTAGGCGATGTGAGCCTTCTTGTGGTGACAACTTGAGTTTTTGATGGAGAGTGTAGTTTGGGACCTTACACTATTTATACTAGTATTCTTCTCATCAAAGAATCCATTCATTCTATGAATTTCATTAAATAGATTAATGTATCTTATACATTCATGATACATAATGCATCTTCTATATTAATGAATTCATTAGATAGATTAATGTATCTTATATATTCATAATAGATACATAATGCATTTTTAAGATTCATTCATAATAAATCTATCACGTTCAATGCATTGACATTATCTCTATTAGTCTTCTATACATTATGTATATATAGGTACATTCATCAATGATTAGTCACCATCTAATTAATGTACATGTATCTTATTTAATGAGATGAATCTAGTATAATTTTGCATAATTCACATTAAGCCATATTTAAAAAAATTCTTACAGTTCCAACTTTTATCAACCCTCTGGTCCTCCGATTACTCAATTCAATCTAAAAATTTTAATAAGAAAAAAGTATTCACTTATTAGGAACAACAAAATTAGTAGAGCTTGTTTTTATTAAGCGAATGGATTGGACGGCGACGTTTGTTATGCGTCTTAAATGAATTTTTTTAGACTAATCCGACTATTATATACATGTGATTTTATTACATTTATTTTTGTATAAATAAAGGATAAACATAATTCTAAAAGATAAATATAATACAAATTATTAAAATAATAAACGGTTGAAATAAACAAGTTTTCATGACAAGTGAATCAATTTCAACACCATGAGAAATTATTCATTGTACTAGGAGCATTGCTCCACTCTATTCATGTGCGGACAAGTGTTCAGTTGTTTCTTTAAAAGAAATAAACAAGTAGTGAGATTCACTATTTCAACCAATAATAATGAGATTGGAGCACCACCTAAATTTACCCTTGAAGCAATGAATAATTTCTCCAGTGCCATGGCTTGGACGAGTGAGAAGTTGTTAAAAAGTTCTACTTTTGTTGTGGTCCTTGTGTTGTGATGATCTTTTAAGCATAAAAATCAAAGGAATGGTTGGGTAACCTTTAAAACACGTACATTCATCTCAATCAACACCCATATCTATGGCTTTGGTTGAACCATGAAGCAAAGTTTGATCCTTCCACTCCCTCCTATATATGTCCTTTTCCCACCTCCCTAGTTCCACTCTCACTCGCTCTTTTAAATACATTTCATTCCAGAATTTGGTTACTCTCAACTCAAACAAACTCCTCCTATCCTACCAATTACAATACCAGAGAAAAGAAGAAATATATATAATCCATGGCTTCCACTAAACCCTTGCTCTCCTCCAGCTTCCATGGTAACCAAATCTATCTCTCTCCTCCAACCCCCAAAACTACCAAATGTTCAAAGCTTCTAATTCCACAATCAATCCTCAACAGAAGACCCAGTAATACTACTCTGAAGAATCTACCATCACAGGCCACTTTGGCTGCTCTACTCTTCTCTTCAATCACCCCACAACAAACCCTAGCCCTAGACACCATTAACCCACCCAATGCTCCTCCACCCGCAATTCAAGCCGAAGCCCCCAAACCCATCCCATCACCCTTCTCTCAAAACCTCCTCATGACCGCACCGAAACCCCAAACCCAGTCCGACATCCCAGACGGAACCCAATGGCGATACAGCGAGTTCTTGAGCGCAGTCAAGAAGGGCAAAGTCGAAAGAGGTTTGATTCAGTAAAGACGGAACTGCCCTCCAACTCACCGCCGTCGACGGCCGCCGCGCCACCGTCACCGTCCCCAGCGACCCCGACCTCATTGACATTCTCGCCTCCAACGCCGTCGATATATCGGTTGCCGAGGGCGATTCCGGCAACGGATTGTTCAGTTTCATTGGAAATCTCATCTTCCCTTTCCTCGCCTTCGCCGGACTCTTCTTGCTCTTTCGCCGCTCCCAGGGCGGGCCTGGCGGGCCCGGCGGGTTCGGCGGGCCGATGGACTTCGGCCGGTCAAAATCCAAGTTCCAGGAGGTCCCGGAGACTGGAGTTTCGTTCTCCGATGTCGCCGGAGCTGATCAGGCCAAATTGGAATTACAGGAAGTTGTTGATTTTTTGAAAAACCCAGATAAGTACACAGCTCTAGGAGCTAAGATCCCCAAAGGGTGTCTTCTGGTGGGACCGCCTGGCACCGGGAAGACCCTGTTGGCCAGAGCGGTGGCAGGAGAGGCCGGAGTGCCATTTTTTTCGTGTGCGGCGTCAGAGTTTGTGGAATTGTTTGTAGGTGTGGGTGCGTCGAGAGTTAGAGATTTGTTTGAGAAGGCGAAATCAAAAGCGCCTTGTATTGTGTTTATAGATGAGATTGATGCGGTGGGGAGGCAGAGAGGGGCAGGGCTTGGAGGTGGGAATGATGAGAGAGAACAGACGATTAATCAGCTGTTGACGGAGATGGATGGGTTTTCGGGGAATTCAGGTGTGATTGTGTTGGCAGCAACGAACAGACCGGATGTTCTTGATTCGGCATTGTTGAGGCCTGGAAGGTTTGATCGACAAGTGACTGTGGACCGGCCTGATGTTGCTGGTAGAGTCAGGATTCTTCAAGTGAGCTCTTTCTACTCTATTCATAATTTTATGCTCATTTGTTTTTTATCCTTGGAGTTTTGGTTTTAGTTTATATGATCCAATTAAGTAATAGTGAAAACTTTAACTTAATTAGAAGATTTTATTTTTTTATAAAAAAAAATTTATATTACAATTTAGACAATCTAAATTATATGAGCATGAGTGACTTTAATAGTTATTGATTTGGGAAAACCATATTAGACCACATTTGTTGAAATTAGAAACTGTAGGAACTAAACAGTTTATATGAAACAGAAAAAATAGCTAGAATTTAGGAAACAGAAGTTGAAATTAAAAATGACATTAATTGACATGTCTAAGCCATTAATAGAAAGGACTATATGATGGTGGACACTAGAGAGGAATGAAAAATTAGAAGCTGTATGTACTAATAGTACATAGATTATCAACTACAATAATAGTATTCGAGTTTCAAAACTAATTCTCTGCTTGCATTTGATGGGAAGGTTTTAAGAATCAGAACATTTGGTTTTGACAATAATATAGTGTTCCTCCAGCTGTTAATATTGCTTCGAATTGTTTTTAATCCTTTGGCATCAGCTTCTTAGCTGCCTTTTGTTTTTTGGATTTATTTTTGTTTTATTGAACTTAAAAATAAATAAATAAATAAGTCTAAAAAATAGCTCAAGTTGTAAGATGCAACCAAAAGAATTGTGGCGAAGTGGAAAGTTTTGCTGTTCTTAATTGAGGAACCACATCAACCCAAAGAATTGGTGGTAAACTCTATTCCAACTAATATTACGACACTGACAGGTGCACTCGAGGGGAAAAGCACTTGCAAAGGATGTGGACTTTGAGAAGATTTCTCGGAGAACTCCAGGTTTCACAGGAGCTGATTTGCAAAACCTGATGAATGAAGCTGCCATTCTTGCAGCCAGACGCGACCTCAAGGAAATAAGCAAAGATGAGATATCTGATGCTCTGGAGAGAATAATTGCTGGACCAGAGAAGAAAAATGCTGTTGTCTCAGAAGCAAAGAAGAAGCTAGTCGCTTATCATGGTATATTACAACATATAAAGACATGTCTTCCCAAGATCTTGTATTCGTATTCTGATCTTATTTTCTGGGTGTTCTAACTATGTATATATGTGCCCTGTTTTGAGTTGCAGAGGCCGGACATGCTTTAGTTGGAGCACTTATGCCTGAATATGATCCAGTAGCCAAGATATCGATCATTCCTCGTGGCCAAGCTGGAGGGCTTACCTTCTTTGCTCCTAGTGAAGAGAGGCTCGAGTCTGGACTTTACAGTCGAAGCTACCTGGAGAACCAGATGGCTGTTGCACTTGGTGGAAGGTTAGTTCATACAACAACCCATCTTTTATTAGGGCATGCATGAATCTGCCTGCTCTTTTGGCTATTGAAGGATAAATAGCTCAAATTAAGCCCCCTTTCGGACTGATTCAGCCCCTACAGCTATAAACAAGCTGAGCCGAGTAGCACCTTGTTCAAGATTTGGCTTGAAAACTTCACATGTTTGGCCCGTTTACGTACCATGCCAATCTCGAGCGAGTTTAACAATCTCGAGCGAGTTTAACACTAGTGTTTGAGTAGTTTGGTTCATTTTATAGCCATACCAACCCTTAATTCAAATGCCTGGATTGATTGTTTCAATAAAAATTGTGGGGGTGCAGGGTTGCAGAAGAGGTTATTTTTGGTGACGATAATGTAACAACTGGAGCGTCAAATGACTTCATGCAAGTTTCAAGGGTGGCAAGGCAGATGGTTGAGAGATTTGGTTTCAGCAAAAAGATCGGACAGGTCGCCATTGGTGGATCTGGTGGAAATCCCTTCTTAGGTCAACAGGTAGGGTTGTTCTGGATAGAGGTTTCGCGTGATTTTGCTAAATCAACATTGAAAATTTTTGAGTCAAGATTGTGTGTTTTTAATGTAGGTGTCTTCCCAAAAGGATTATTCCATGGCAACTGCTGATGTGGTAGACACAGAGGTAAGGGAACTGGTAGAGAAGGCATACGAAAGGGCCAAGCAGATCATCACAACCCATATTGACATCCTCCACAAGCTTGCTCTACTCCTCATAGAGAAGGAAACTGTAGATGGTGAAGAGTTCATGAGCCTCTTCATTGACGGCAAAGCTGAACTATTTGTTGCCTAATCACTGTTGCATTGAAATTATGTTGTATTACAAGTTTAACATACATATATATGTACACATGTAAAACCAATTTTGATTATTTCCACACATTCAGGAAAAAAAATAACACTATCGAGTGCCAAAAAACAATTGTTCTTTCTCCTCCCTCTCTATAGTACAACTTCAGATGACGACAAAACCACACCCCAATTCAAATTGTACATAAACCCTATGCACTTCGCCAACACAACAATTAATTTAGACAAAAAAGACAGGAAAAAAAAAAGAAAAAAAGAACAGTTCTCACGTTCCTCTACTGCCACGTTGTCTTTTTTCTTCTAAAGCAGAAGCCTCACCCAACATGTCAGCTGCATCCTTGTGCATTTCCAGCTTTGCAAGGGCAACTGCCTGCATATAAAATGCTGTGGACCAGTCTGGGTAGACGCATTGTGCTTGCATTGCATCTCGTAGGGCGGCGTCGGGTTGGTCACAGAGGAGATAGGAGAGACTGCGCCGCGCATATACAGTTGGGGAAACCATGGTTCCCACATCTATGAACTGCAAGAAAGAACAGATGAATATTGCAGAGACAATATAATCACTTCTTTTACCACTCATCTATCTTTTTTGGTTGTCTCCTAGCATATTTCCTCAGAATTCCAATATGGCAAAACATAATAATCTTTTATATATAAAAGCACTATCTGCAAAATGAAGTAAATACCTGAGAATAACAGTCTATGGCAGTCTTAAATTCCTTGTCACGGAATGCCAAGTCCCCACGCTTCCTCGCCTCGAGCATATCTCTCATTTGTTGGGTCCACTCTTGGAAAGACAGCTGCACCAACCAATATCCAGATAGATAATGCTAGGGATACCAAATTTTCTACCAAACAAATGACCAAATGTCTCATATAGGGGTGGGATCCGCAATTCTGTAAACCTCACGACTATGTGAGACATTTGATCATTTATTTGGTAGAAAATTTAGAACCTATAGCATTTTCCTATCCAAGTATTATAGTACAGAAATGGCAACAAATATCAGCCATCCTATTCAAAACACATCATATTACCTCATTGGTTCCTTCATCATCTTTGTAGTGTGTCATCACCAAAATCTGATGAATAGCCGTGAGGTCCATTCGTGAACAGGCATCACCCATTGGAGAAAGAGGGTGCTGTGGAGTAGATGGTGCTTCCTCGTTCTTTGGAATTCCCAGCATCACATAAGATGGAACCTGCATGCAAGAATTGAGACATTCAATGCTCTAACTAAAAGCATGCATGGTCTTCTTATGTTCACAACCTACAACCAGAAAAAACATTGCCACCAAAGCTCCCAATCTAACTGAAGAATTCTGAAAAGCCTTTCAGAGACAGAAACAATGAGAAAATTCAAATAAATAGAGAAACATGAAACAGAGATATTTGTGCGTAAAGTGAATACTGTGCAAGTAAAATTAAGCCCACTCAAGAAGAAAGAAGAAAATAACAGAAATTCACACAACATTGCTCGGAGGAAACCCGTCTGTAAACCCAACTTCTGCAGTTATCTTGTCACCCAGAAATTGGAAATCAGCCATGAAATACAACTCGAGATAAATGAGCACTTTGGCAAGACATGACAGTATAGAGAAACCAGAAACAAATAGGGCTTGCAAAACCAGCAGTGGCCTTCTGGTTTGAAACTTTTAGTAACAAAAAGATAGCTGCATAGACCTCACACCGTATTCCATTTGGCAATATTACTACTAGATAGTAAACCACATGCAGGATTCACAATACAAAAATACTTCTGAGGTTAAGAAAAGGACATTTCAAGTATTACTTACAACCATAGAGAAAGCAAAGAGGACTCACGTCAGGTTTATTTTGCAGTGGGGCAAGTGTTGCAACAAGGTCCTTGATATTTGGCCGCTCCCTAGGTTCATACTGCAGGCATTGTGAAGCGAGATCAAAAACTGCAGTAGCCTCTTCAGTGGAAAAGTTTCCCTCCAGATGTGAATCCATCAAAAGAAGAATGTTTTTGCCACGTATCATATCGAGAGCCTGCAGACAGTAAAATTTAAGCATTCCAGGGTTCATAAACTCAAATTTCCCATAATTACCATTATTTATTGCAAGTTAAACCTATACCAAAGCGTAATTATCATAGATGTGATTTGCAGATACATTTCCCATATGAATTACCACAATTCATCACAGACGTTCCTTACACCTGACAATTTGAGGTTGATGACAATGTCAGACCAATGTAAACTGTCCCGACATTGATTCCGGTTAGTTTCTACAAGGGTCTAGCAAGACTCCGTAAACTGTCACAACAACTGTCACAACATTGTCTGCTACAACAGTCCGACATGACCCCATAAACTGTCTTCTACATTGGTCTGACACCCCCATACAGTGTCCTCTACAACGTTATGACACTCCCATCCAGTGTCCTCTACAACGTTATGACACCACCATCCAGTGTCTTCACCAATGGTCTGACACGACCATACAGTGTCTCCTATCCTCTTTTATTTTTATGTATTTTCTTGTTTTGTTACTCTCTCCAAACTCAAGTTGGTTAGTTCCTATCCCCCTTGAGTTTGCGGGGGGCGGTTAAAATTCACCTACTACACACCTACCACTACCACCTACTACACACTCACCTACTTCACCTACTCTCCACCTACTCCTCACCTACTCCATACCTACTATACACTCACCTATTCTCTTCCCACATCCTCTCTTCTATATATAGGAATCATTGTAATATAACAATATATCAATCAATAATACATACATTTTAAAAGACAATTAACCCATTCCATAATCCACTCAGCATGAAATTTTCAAAGATCAAGACATAGCCTAATTACACGGATTCAAGTCAAATGAGCACAACCACATGGTTAAGTACATGGATTTAACAAACAACCAATCTTAAGGACTCCTAAATATGCTTATCCATATCCAAAGTAATCCATTTTAATGGTATATACCCCAATAGATGATGGTTTTTGACAGCAATACCCACTGTACAACACCAGAAAGATCTGTGACAAGGAATGAGGGAAATGAGCCATGTGATGACATACCCATGCAATTGTATACATTTTCCCCCCGTTGATAACTGAAAGGAACCCACTATAACAATAATAATATAAGTTTATAATCAGAAACCCTGAAAGCAAGATGATAGAAACAAAGTTAATGTGCTAAAAATGAACTAACTATAATCTTTGTTAAAAAAACTAAAAAAATTTAAAAATAACTTGAAACCTCTAAGAGCTGATCCAACATGAAAAACAAGAATGTGCACTTATCACAAAGGATATTTATGTTGTTGCCTAGATTTGATTGGAAACACAACTTCTGCCACGAGATGATTGAATTTAAACTTGAGATAGCTGGTAGGTAAGGCATAACAAAGTACACAATACTTACATGACTTGGTGGGATGTGCTTTCCGCTGAGAAGATCCAGAAGCACAGTCCCAAAACTGAAAATTACACTTTCTGGAGTGACCCTTCCTACAAGTAGACATGAAAAATATGTAATATTGTTAAAGGATGAAATATGCTAATATTTTGTGTTCATATACGATTTGATGTATATGGTCTTTGTTGTGGCTCAAGAAATTTGAGAAAATTGATTTGAGGAAAAACTTTGGTATGATATGAATTTATCTGGAAATTTGCATAGTTGCAGCAAGCTACTACAATATTCCAGTTCATTTAAAAGTGAATCTTCAATGATATTCTGACATTAAAAAATTCAGACACTAAATCCTCCTTTTGGGCCTTTACCAGGCCTTTAAAACTTTCAAATTGGCACCAAAGAACTCATGCATGACACAACCACGTCAATCTTCATTTTACATGTCAAAATATACCTTAATGCCTGACACCATGGTTTTCCACTAAACATTGACAAACATTTATAACACACCCTATGGCAACAAGGGGGAAATTTTTAAAAAAAATGACAAATGAATGAAAATGTAAACCGGATAAAGAGGTTAGGCAAATCTGTATGCTCAATACCAATTTTCTGTGAGTTTTAAGGAAAAGGTAAGTGGATGAGACAAATCTTATTATAAAGACTCCAAAATATAGTCCTGTGAATGCACAATGGATAAGTAAATACGAAGACCTGATATGTCTCACACTTCAATAATGGGAGTACAATGGGGTTATGCACACATTTCATGCACAAATACTAAATGCCTACAAAATTCTCAGTGTGGATTGGTTTTATGATGACTAGAAATGACTTACTTTCAGTGAAATCTATGTACAAGTATCTTTTTTCTACTCACGATAAGATCTTTCTAGCTAAATCAACTTGCCGTGCTACCTAATCAAGGCTTTTGTTTAGGTCACTTTCAACAAATGCTGCAAGTGCAAATGATGTCCACATAGTCTTGTCTCATTTTGTTACATTTTTCCAGTTTCTTGTGATTAGTAACATGGGGGTTGCCCCTTTGCTTTAACATAATGTTTATCAATAGCATATTATTATTATTATTATTATTTTATTTTATTTTTTTGATAAATGAATCAATAGCATATTATTTGTTGTAACAAATATATAAAACTATACCATGCCATGTCCAGCATTACAATATGGATGCTCTGCATTATTTGGTTCAAGAATTTTCCTTCAAAAATTGAATAAAAGAATTAAAAGATAGCAAGATTGCCTATAACTAAATCAAAACTAAATGAAGTAGTTACCATTTCTGAGATACTCAGGAGGTGTATATGCAAGATTTGTGCTATAACTTTTGCCATCCCTGCTGTTTTTCATCAAGCCAAAACATGAAAGCCGTGGATCACCATTCTGCCAAAACCAACCACAAAGTTGCCACTTAGCTCAATTAGAACCAAAAGATCATCTAGCCTATCAAGAAAAAGAGAAAAAAGAAAAAGAAAAAATCCTATAGATAATGCCATGTAAATGTAACTAGACCATTGTGTTGTTAAATAACACGATCCAACAATAAGGGTTGGTTTGGGATGTTCTAAAAAAGTACACTTTTTGACTTATTGGCTTATATGGGTTGAGTTTGGATTGGGCTTGATGTGATGTGTTAGAGAGGTGATGTGATTTAAATAAGATGATGTGACTTAAATAAGATAGTGACTTTTTGACTTTTTGTATTATTTAAGTCATGCCAAACTTGACCTAAATATCAACCAGTGAGGAATAATCAAGTGCAAAATTCAAGTTAAAAAAGATATATGACAACACCTCATCAAAGAGAACCCTGTATGCATTCAAGTCATGGTATAGTGGACGGCCTTCGGTACTACAATAATCCAATGCTTCAGCAATATACAGCGCAACTCTTAGACGCATGGCCCACTCAATGGTTTGGTTCTCCCCTGTGAAGCATGCAATAAGATGAATTTAGACATACACAAACAAAAGACCATCCTAATGTAAACAAATCATATAGAAAGCAACTGAAAATTATCCTTCCACTCAATCAAGAAAGGTCAGATCGTATACTATTATGCTCCAGTAAACGAGAGGATTTTGACAAGATGGAATTTTGGGGAAAAATCAATGCCGCTAACGAAAAGTTATACCTAAAGATGTGAGCCCACAGGCGTGTGCACACACACGGACACACACAAGGCACTATCTGGGCATAATAAGGATGCTGCAAATTTTTTCATGCCACAAAAGCACCCCTGCTCTACAATCTCTTTATAAAAAAACCTTTTAACAGAAAAGCATTCAGTGGCAACACACCACTCCAGATGGATTTCCAGTCAAATTCATCTCATTTTCACCGATCCCTCAATTCAACCTTCCATTTTGCCACTATAGCTCCCATACAGTAAGTAATAAAATACAGCTTCTACTACTTGGATTACAAACCTATTTCAAAGAAAGAAAAACCCTATCATCAAGCTGAACACACAAGTGAAGTGAAAGCAATCATTCTGCTAAAAAGGAAATTCAGCCCAAAGTCTCAAATAATTAATTCAAACACAAAATAAGCTAGCCCCCAATGCAGTAAAACTGGAAAGAATACTAGAAATCCTCACACCCATTAGAATTCATCAAGCTGCAATGAAACTCGAGTTGAAATTGGCCAAAACTGAAGTAAAAATTGCAAGATTGAATGAGAAACAATAATCAATTTATCTATACATACAGTGGAATAGATGTTTTGCCAAGGTATCATTGGGCATGTGTTCAGCAACAAGAAGCCTCTCATCGCCGTCGCAGCAGTAACCAATCAAATTGGCAAGCCTCTTATGTCTCAACTTCCCAACGCCCCACGCTTCGTCCTTCAAAAGAAACCATCATCAAACAAGAATATCATTAAATTTAAAACCCCTAATTCAACAAACCCTAAATAAATTCAAAAACAAAACCAACAAAATAATCTCAAAATTTGAAAATCAGTACGGCGAATTGCTTGGGATCGGGCCAGGCCATTTTGGTAAATTTCTTGACGGCGATCCAGCGCCGATTCTGGAGGCGGCCCTTGTAGACAACATTAGGGGCTTTTTCACCGCTCTCCGAGACGATGAAGTCGGAGCTGAAGTTGTTGGTGGCCGATTTCAGGTCGGAGAGAGAAAACTCGGAGAAAGCCGGGATTCCGCCGGGACCGTCGACTACGGCGGCGGCGGCGGTGCCGTTGGGAGGATGAGGGTGGTGGCGTTGATCCTTCTTCTTCTTCTTCCCCAAGAGAGTTTCTTTCAAGAACGACGATCCGCAACAACCCATAACTTGTGTTAGTGAGGAACCATAACCATACAAGGGAAGATTCTAGAGAGAGAAAGGTAAAATACAGATAAGTATATGTTGAGAGAGAGAGAGAGAGAGGTATTATATATATATATATACAAAAATCAAAATCTATACACTCGTGCGCCTGAGAAAGACGAGGTGATAACGATGAAGAAATTGGGGTGTTGCTGTAAGTGATGCTTTTGGTTTTCTTTTTTTCATCGAGTTCTCTCTCTCTCTTTCTCTCTCTCTTGGACTGACACAACCCCCCTTTCTCTCCTTTCTCCCTAACTTTTTTTGGACTGTTATGTAAGGACGAAGGATAATTTTGTCTTTGAATATCAGAAGACTGTTTGTTTTCGGGAATTATTTTGGAGCAATGGTAGAGGGCTCAAATTCTGTGGCTTAAATGTGGTTCAAATGGCCAAAACGACGTCATTTTGAGTACAAAACAACATCAAAATGGCCAAAACGACGTCGTTTTGACCATTTGAGCCACATTTGAGCCACAGAATTAGAGCCCCCAAACATTTTTCATTATTTTGGGTATGTTTGGTTTGTATTTGGAAGATAAGTTTTTTGAAAAAAAATTTAAAAAAATTGTTTGGTTTGAGTATTTTTTTAAAAAATTTCAAAATCATTTTCTCTCTCTTACACATCAATCAATCACTTTTTCTCTCTCATCTCTCATTCTTAATCATTTTTTCTTTCACACACATCTACTCAAATTCTCCCAAAATATCAAATCATCCCAAACTCCCAAAAAAACAATTCTTCCAAAATATACAACCAAACAAACTAAAAAAATTTCTAAACTCGTTCCCTAAATTTTTTTCAAAAACAACTCTTCCAAAAACAAACCAAACAAACAAACCCTTTGTCATTGACAATCACATCATATGACTTTGTTTTCACGTATAGTAAGGTATTGAATTGGACTAAATACTTACCAATCCCTTCACCAATGTTTTTTATTATTATTTGGGCAGCTTGCCTCCAATTCGAGATTAGATTGAACGGTATTATTTGGTCTGTTTCATTTTGATAATCTGAACCGTTCAATTTGTAAAAATCGTCAAGTATTATATGTCTATAAAAAATTATATTAATCAGATATCGATAGTTATGTGATCAAATTAGTTTTGTATAAAAAAATAGATGGTGAACAAATTAACGATTGAAAAAAAATTGATCCGATGATATAGCTATTGATATCCAATCAACGTGAATTTTTACAAGCATATAATACTCGATGAGTTCTACACATTAAACGGTCCGAATTATCAAAACGGGACCCGTAATAGACCCTCACGGACCAAACAATATTGTCCAATCTGATCTCGGACTGAAGACAAGTTGCTTCCTTATTATTGTGTATTATCAAATTTGTACGGGGGGCAAATATCCGATACCACCCGTACTCCTCGTGTCCAAGCTCCGCTCCGTTTCGATTAACCTGTGAACACAGCGGCGGTGAGCTACCCGGCGGTGTGTTGCCGGAAAACTCTTCTGACAATCAAATTAGCACACCTTTAGAGAGAGAGAAGAGAGAAGTTACAATGTGGTAGTTTAGTTTTTTTACCTCATTTTTCTGTATGGAGTTGCAATCTTATTTATATGGTTACTACGCGCGATTTCGCGCCCTTTTCTCTCGAGACGCGTGGACCTGTTCCCCTCTTACATTTTCCCACGTGTCAACGCTAAAACAGCTAAACACCACCTAACAAAAACCGCCAAACTGAATTAATGTACGATCTACGAAACCTTTCTTCCGCAATGCCGTACAACTGCGCAGCACTTCTAACTGAGCTACTATCAGGGTAGTGCCACGTCCTGCTGATGCAACCTTTCCTCTTGACCGGTTTCCTTGATTACTTTGCACCGTGCAGTACCTCCACCGAGCTCCTAGATTCCGACAGCTCTCCTGCCCGGTCGGCCCAAGCTTGGAAGTTCAAACTCACTGATGTGCACTATCCCACCGGATTAGTGGACTAAAGTTACTATGGCTCAACTGGACCGGGCTCCTTAACCCAAGGTGTCCGCTAGTCGCATAGACTTAGCTAGGTTTAACAAGCTTGGCCCACTCAGCCCGCCCCAAACGAGTTCGGTCCAAAGTCAAATTAAAGAATCCCCTTCTCAATTGTCCCTTAATCCTATCCGCATCAATGTGACCGCGATTACCTTCTTCTGCCAAAATCATGATCAGCTCAGTCGACGTTTCAACGTCACTTCCTGTCTCTTCAATTCTGACAACGGTCTTATCACAGCCATGTGTTTCTCGCCGATTGGCCTCGTTGAGCCAACCCAACCACCGCACTCCGTCTTCTTAGTTTCAAATTTTAGTGCCTCTTCTACCTTCATATTCACTTCATATGCGCTTTCACTCTCTCCCTCTACTACACATTCTCTTCCTCATACCACCATTTGGTCAAGAGCTACAACGTAACCACACTCGCTTTCCGTATCCCTTGCCCACGTCGAAGCATCCTCCTGGTGGATTTGGACTCGCCATCGTCGCACGGAAGGATTCTCCCTATCTCTGACTTGGTAAGTTCTTCTCATTCGCTCTGTGGTTCCTTCAATTTTTTACATTCTTAAGAATCATCTCACATAAGTGAGTCAAGGGCATGACGATTGTGAGTTTTAGGACATCAAATGAGGTTAGGCTAGGGCTCCTCTCCACTATAATCGCAAAAAAAAAAACCACCCTTGTAACTGCTCATCATCTTCTGTGATGAGCGTGCCAAAATCTGGGACTGACTGAGCTCTAGGTCGTCATTTGATCCCAAACCATAACAGAATCGAGCAAGTTACAAGTTTGTAAGACTTAGGAAGGAACTGAGCTAATAGAATGCTTGGCCGCTCGACCGGACTAATATCTAGTCCGCTTGAGCGACCGAGCTACTGGGTGTACCTATTGCGACCGAGGTGCTGTTGCACTTCAAGTGTCAGTGCTAAAGTCGAGCTCGTTTGCGCGACCGCGCTATCACTTATACTTTCCTTTTACTACAGTGTCCTAGGAGACCAGACACCAACACCAGGGCTCTCAAAGGCTGAGCAGCCATCGCTCGAAACTCTGCCAAACCAACACTGCCGTGCTGAAACCAGCCGGCTTCACATGGGGTATTACCGCTTCCTCGTTAACACGTCGGGCACACTAGCCGTATTCTGAGATGAGTACGATGTCCCTGAAGATGTCCACTTTGAGCTCGGTGTAGAAGACACCACCCCTTGGGGTAGACTGGATCAATGCCCCATTCACTGTGCTATCTATAGTTGAGGGAGGTTTACTTTCCCCGGTTCAGCCTCTCATGTGTGAGTACCTGAGGCGTACCGGGCTAGCACCAACACAAGTTTCGACAAACACCTTTAGAATAATAAACGGGGTAGCCGAACTGAACCACCGGCTTGGCCTTAACCTAGGATTGGTCGAGATTTTGCACCAACACACCCTCGGGCATACAGTCGACGGGTTTAACTATTATTTGAAGATTAGGCCAGGCAAGGAAAAGCTGGTAACCGGCACACCAGATAAAGATATGTATGATGATGACTTCTTTTGGGTGTCCGAAAATTATGAGACAACTGATGTTCCCGGTTGGTACATCAGCAAGAACTTCGGTTCGATATGTAAGTCGTACTCACTAACCGGTCAAATTACTTTCCTTTACTATTTTGTACTAATCGCTCTTTTCCTTGGAGCTATCGAAGCCTTGCAAGCGAATTACTTCAACCCAAACAAGGCTACCATCAGAGCCGCGCTACGGTATTGTCACCGAGATTGCCACGACCTTTTCGATTATGTACCGAGCTACCGATACTCGGCTCCTCGCAAAAGTAGGGTTACAGACTTTCTACGAGCACCATCTCCACCGCCCAACACTTCCGGACGTGCCCCTAATCCGGCTAACCAAAGAGGAGGAAATGGCCAAACGGAGCTGAATCAAGAATCTTATCATCACCATATCCACCGAATTGTTGAGCGTCCCCCCCTCGCATCTCTACTGTCAGCCAAACATCAGGGACTGTGATCGCACTAGCGTCGACCACTGCGCCGCAAGCCAGCAAGGAGAGTCATCGAACTAGAAAAAAAGCCTCGATCTGCCGATCCAATAACCAAGCTTGTCGCCGTATTGAGCACCGAGAAACCAGCAGAAGAATTTGAGCCAACGCCCTTATGGCAGCCATAACTGAAACACTGGGGTAAGGAGATCTCGGCCACCGCATCACTCAATGGCAATAAAGAACACCTCTTGGCTTTTGATCTAACGAAAGCTTTGCTTCTGCCGAATGACATAACCGGCAGTGACCACGTGCCCGACACCCGCCTCGTGAAGTCCTCGGTTAAATCCATGACCAGGGTAAGAGTTCTATAAATTTGCTCAAATTTGTTCAAGTGTTTCCACGATTAATCTTCTTATTTGAACTCTAATATGTTCTCTTATAGGCCATCTAGAAACAGCACCTCGTGATGGACCGGATTTACAAACTCCGGCAAAAGGTGACCGATGCCACCAATCAGGTCAAACATCTGCAGACCGAGCTGGGGAGGTCCAAGACTTCGTTGGAGATGGCCAACGTGGATAACACCAAATTGCTCGGGCAACTTGGATCAGTCGAGAAGGAAAGGGACGCACTCCGGGTCGAGCTGGATGTGTTAAAGCAGGCTAGGAAAGATGAAGTGGACGCGGCGAATAATCTCGGTTTCAAAGAGGCCAAAGACAGCTATACCAAATAAGTCGAGACCACCAAGGACATATTCTTTAAGTCTGGTTGGGAGGCTGCCTGTGAACAGCTCGGCCAAGGATCTGGAACCGAGGTGTTTACATCTCTCCCCGCTGCCTTTCTGCCAACCTACATGGTGTCGTACGCGAATGAAGTCTTCAATGCGCTACAAGAGGAGGCCAAGGATGAGGTCGGGCACGCCGCCGAGGAGGATGCCAAGGAAAAGGGCCGCCCAAAGAAGACCGGCTAGGAGAAGACCGGCATCAGAGAAATTTCCTCTACGGTTGATCTAGAGGCTGCCATGGAGGGGACCGGGGACAATTTCGCTGATCTCTCTCCCCTGGTTTAGTCAAGGGTTCTTCACTTTTTCTTTTTTTTTCTTTTTTTTTTTTTTTTTTTTTTGCGTATGTAACCGAGCTACCTGCCCCACCATATGTACTACATTTCTCAATCAATGAAAAGTTCGCATTTCACTTATATTCTG